GAAATGGACAGTACTCGCCCCAGCTCCTGGGAACTGCCCGAATTGCTGCCACTGGCATATTCTCATTTACTGAGATTTGACCCTCCCTGGAAACACAGCACTCCACCCCGAGGCTCATAGTCCCCAAGGCTCTCTGCTGGGCATCTAGTCTCTGCTTGGTTACCATCAGTGCCAAGGAGCTCACTACTTCATTGTTAAGTGGGCAGGTGGTAGAAATGTCTTTCTTACAAAACTCAAACTGCCCTCCCTCTTCTTTTCTCTCAAGGATCTGAGATCCAAGGGCTAAACACTCACACAGAGGCAAGGCAGAGTATCTTCTATGTGGCAGAACTTAGATACTTCCAGTCAGTCATCAGAACCCTCCTGAGGCTGCTTCCCTCCCAGAGAAACCCCAACTACTTCTGCAGGAGAGGAGGAGAGAAGCGTTCCCTGTAATTTCAAACGCAGAGGTCCTAGGTCATGTGTGTGTCTCTCCCTTTTATTTTCTGGATCATTTCTCTGTTTCCTGCGCTATACACATCATTTGCTCTTTCTCTTCTCCCCGTAGAACTGACAGGGAGGGTTTTCTGGGGGCAGACTTTGACCTCTTTCCAAGGTGAATGGGCTCAGCTGGCAAGATAAGGACTCATTGGAATGGTGGACACATCAATCCTTACTGCCCCCTGGTCACAGCAGAAAGTATCTGGGAACGTTCAGAGCAGGATGGGCTGAGCTTCTGGCAGAGGGAGCTGGATCCCCCACGGCTGTTCTTCCAGGGAAGATACAGTCTATAGCCCTGTGACCTCTGTTGGGTCTCAACAAAGTCCATCAACAACTGCAGGCAACCTTTCCAGCTTTGTCCCCCACCGAGTACCACACCTTTAGACACCGTCCCAGCCAGGGCTCCACTGCCTCCAGGAAGCCGTCCTAATCTCCCATCTGGGGAGGCAGGCCTTTCACTTCCTGCTACAGAGCATGAGTTTATCTGTCAGTCTCGCTGGTAGGCTGGGTGCTCATGTGGGCAGACTACAGTTAACTCAGGTCTGGCCTAGAGCCAAGCCCTGTGCCTTCACATCAGAGGTGGCCAATGACTGCCACGAAGCATAGTTGCATCTGCCTCTGGGCTTCCATTTCACATCCACAAATGCAAACTCTGAACTAGATGGGGGATGGTACATACGTAAAACATATCCTACCATTTACTTGCCCATGTTCATGGTAAACCTGGCCAGTCAGTATCTGGTAAGCCTGGACACGACACAGCTTCAGTATCATTCTCAACAAGTGTTCTAAGCAGCCACCTCTAGCTAATCACAGCTGACATCTGGGCGGAAATATTGGCCACTTTTGAGAGAAGATGGCTAGAGATTCTCTTTCTACTTCCGTTATTTCCCTCCTTCTTTGGATTCTCTAGTCTCTCTTCTTCCTGTAGACACTCAAACCTATATTGACACTTGGACTTCTGACTGCTGTGGAAGAACACTAGGATCAGGAACCGAGAAGCCTAGGTTTAGACTCCCATTACAGCCCCGGGTTGGTAACTTTGGACAGGTCACCTTTCTGAGTCTCAATTTCCCAATCAGCCATGCCTCCTCTGCAGAAACACTGTGATCAAAATGAAAGTAAGTTGCATGTCTGAAAACACAACATAACTGAAAACAATTATTGGAATTTAAAACAAAACAAGAACAAAAACAGCCTGTACCCAATGCTCCCTTCTCTGTGACCCCTGCCCTCCCGCAATTCTCCAGCTCTGGACCTAAAAATCCTCATTGGACAGTGCCTCCCTTAGAACCACCTTAGGGCCAAGGAGCTGGGGACCCACCCAGACCAGTGGGCCTGGCCAAAACCAAGCCGAGTTTGCCAGATGTGCAGCCCAACTGACTTAAGCTGCATGAAAAAAAAAAAATGCCATTGCTTGATTATATAAAATCCATCTGGATCCAAAGCAGAAAATCCAAGTTGGAAGGGCCCTCAAGAGACCATCTGGTCCACCCAGTTTCATTTACTAGTGAGGAAACTGGGCCCAGAGATGATGAACAACTTGCCCAAGGTCACTCAGCAAGTGTGTGAGCAGGTGGGGGACTAGAACAAGCATCCTCAGGCTCTAGTTCTCTGTTCTCCTCCCCATCCCAGAACCCTACCCCAGACCCTCCAAGCCTGATCATGACTTAGAGCTCTGGGGCTGGCGGCGCTCCACTTCTGGTAATGTGAGCAACACAAACAAACTTAGTTCAAATGTTTCCCGGAGCCCTAGTGTACGCCAGGTGCTGAGGATGCCAAGATGAAGACAGCCCTTTTACACAGAACACACAGAATTAGAATGGTCTTGTTAAGTTCTACAATGACCCCAAGAACCCCACAATATTCTCCAAGAGTTGAGTGTGGCGAAGTCGGGTCCCAAACCACCTCCCTGTCAGCCCTCAATCTGCTGCTACCAGATACATCTCATGCCACAGGACCAGACAGGCACTGTCCACCTCGGAAGCCCAAACACCGAGTAAGATAGAGCAAACAGACAGAAACTAAGGTGTGGATGGCCAGACCTCCTGACCCCAGAAGGAGCTTCGCAGCCTGGCAGTCAAAGGCCTGAGGGAGGGAATCCCCTGTTACTTTCTAAGGAGCCAAAATAGAGAGTGGACAGCTGCTCTCTCCCACCCACCCTGGAGACCCCACTGACTTCTAAATTTAACACTAGCTGGGGGTAGAGTCCTGACCTGAAAACTGGGCTGGCTCCTTTGGGACAGGGTCTGGCCAAAGATGGGTCAACCAACTCAGGCTGGTTCCTCAGTGCAAAGATCCTCCTGCAGCAGAGCTGCCCGCCCAGGCCGCGACCAAGCAGGGGAAGAAGTGCAATTGTTGGCAGCAGATAAAACCCTCGATACCATCTCTATTTCCCTTCTAATATCAGAGTGGCCGCCTGCAAGATGAGCGTGGGGGGCAGGGCCAGCAATCAATAGCTAATATTCCCATTGTGAATTGGCCTTCTCCGGAAATGGGCAGCTACTACCTCCTGCCAGAGAGATATCCTTTCCCCTTAGCAGTGACCCAGACTGAGCAGTTAAGGATCACGGCCAGGAAGGACCCCATCCGCCTTCATCTGACTGATGGGGAAATGATGCTCTGAGGAGGGAGGTGAGGGAGGGGCTTGGGCCAAAGTCACCCCAGGAAGCAGAGAAGCCAGGGCACAGAGTTCCTTGCTCAATGACCCAGCCAGCTCTTGATGGTTCATCTTGACAGGGGATCAGAGAAGTCAAGTCAAGAGGGTCCAAAAGTCACCGCTGTGTGATGGTGACTGCTGGTAGCTAAATAAGGACAGAATCAGTCTGAGATTTCTGACCACACACCCCTGAACGTCACAGGGGAGGGCCCAAGAAGTATGTCTGGAATTAGGCCTTAACCATGGACAATTATACCAAAGCAGGAAGTTGGGAACTGCCCACATATCAGGCAGACCTTGCCTTGCCCCAGACTCAGGCCCAAATAGAAGTTAATGGACTATTTTTAAAAATACAGCTGGCTACTGTCCTCCTCTTCCCACCACAGTGGCCTGCACTGGGCACCCAGACAAGCAGCATGAAGCCTCAATGGGATGCACATAGGTAGAGCCTGGTACCTGGGTGGGCTCTGACTGCCAGGCAAGAAAGCCACATCTGCACATTATCAAGGGCATCATGGGTGAGGACATATAAGCCTGAGAAAGAAGTTGCAACCAGATATAGGCAGACCCATATTTGACTGACTCCCTACTTGGCTGGTGAGCAGCATGTCCTAAACCTCCTCGCCTAGGAGTTAACATCCACCAAAATGTGAAATCTTGCAAAGTAGAAAGGTCTTCTAGGTCATCTCCCACCCTAGGTATCTCTAACAGGCCTTCGTCCCATTTTTGCTCAGATACCTCCTGTGTTAGGGAGCCCCTTGCAGCCTGTGTCTCACTGCTGGATGCACACAATGTGAAATACTGGCTTCACTGAGCACAAGTCTCCTTGGACTCTGCCTCACCGGTCCCAGTTTAGAAGCTTTGGGCTTCACAGAGAAATCTTTGCTTTTTTTTTTCCATACAACTGCTCCTCCTATATTCTTACCTAGAAGTGCTAACCTTTCAAAAGGCATGGGGAACTCGGGCAGATTCTCAAACCCAGCTGCAGACAGGTGTGAAAGAATGGGATGTTACACTCAAGAGCTTCAACATAAAAGTTCCTTCCAGCCCAGCATGCCGACGCCTCTCCAAGACAGCACTTCCAAGTCTCAATCTAGTTTAAATGGAATGAGCCCCTCCGCGAGAAGATGACAGAGATGGAAAAGATGCAGAGGGGGTGGCAGTCACTCCCAACCTTGACAACACAGAAAGTCCCCGAGACTCCAACAAGGTGTCTTTTAGAAAAGACTGGGCTCTCGATCCACGTGGGATCTGCTCCTGCCTTTGGCGGGGCAGAGTGCTGGGCACAGATACTCGTGGGATGCCGTCTGTGATCACACTCGGAAAAAATCAAGTGGTTAACCAGAGGGAAAGGAGTCCCAGACCTGCCAAGATGGTGGGTTTTTTGTTTTTTTACATTACGCCTAAGGTTTGTAGTTTGAACAGGCAAAGTAAACAATGACAAGGACAGCAGCAACAAAACAGAAACAAAGAACAGTTTACTTGTTTAAAAAAAAGAGGAAAAAAAAAACCTTTGTTAAAAGACAGCTTCACCCGGACTTGGACTTGGACTTGGGACCTGGAAGCGGCCCCACTGCCTCCCTGACCAGGGGGGCGGCTACGTTGTGAAGTGGGTGTGAAGAAAAACTCCAGCACATGCAGGAGGTGTCTGCTCTCCATTTCTTTTCTCCCCTCCATGGTTTTGGAAGGGGTGGACAAAGGGAGGGAAAGGGAAGGGTTTGAACCAGCATAAAGAAACGGTATTTAGACCATGGCAAACTGAGCTACTACTTACTTCTCTCTCTCTCTCCCTCCCTCCCGCCTGCCCGAGCCTGGCCTGGAGTGAACTGAGCAAAGGACCAAACGAGGGCCCAGCACGTACCTGAAAGAAACCGGGTGGGATGGGGCCTCCGGGCATCCCATCATTGGGGGGAATGTTGCCAAGCACAGGGCTTGGGGCAGCTGCTGCACTCTGTGGAGACAGGAAGGTGGAGTTAGAGGCCGTGCCCACAATGAGAGACACTGAGTTCCGACCCCTGGCCCCCGCCTCTCCTTGTCCGCCACATTCTCCACAGACCCTCCTCAAATACCAACTTCCTGGACAAGTGATGAACTCTGAGCCTCCCTTTCCTCACCTCTAAAACGAGAGATCAACGTCCACCATCTTGCACATGCAGAGCAGTAGTGGGTGGCCGACATGCAGTAGCTGTTATTAATGTAAGGAGGCCCTGCCTGACCGGCTCAGCTGGTTCATGAAGCGCCTTCAGGGCAGGCAAGGTGCTTCATAAATATTTGTGCCCTCTCCAAGAGGCTGGCATGTTGTATGGAGCAGAAGGCCAATAAATATCCGCAACTTAATGAATAAACAGACAGCCCAGCTGGGAAACATCCCTAGAGAGAGGGAGGGGGAGGGCAGGTGCATTTTTGGAACCACCAGGGTCCTGGGTGCCGTAGGACAGAAGTTTGGCTTCACAACGAGGGTAGTGTCATTACTTCTCCTTTTAAACGCTGCTATTCAGCCATTTACCTGGTACATCTGCCTCAACAAATGCTTCCTGGGGTGAACAGACGTTGCTCGCCCCAGCCTGGATTTCTTCCAGACAGTCTGCATCCCACCTGTTCATGCGGTTGGCATGTCTGTGCTCGGCCCTGTGCTCGCACTGGCAGGGGAAGGCTGATCAAAGCACAGGCTTGACCGCCCCGACCTTCTCCGAAGAGTCTACAGTTCCCAAGTGTTCCTCCTGCAGGAAGCCCACCTCCAGCCTCAGTGGTTCCCAAACCCCAGCAGGACAGAGAATTTGAAACTAAATCACTAATCATCTCCTAGGGGTCTGTGAGACAAGAGCAAGCCCCTCAGGGTCAGAAACACCTCTTTTTCTCTTATGAATGCAGCCCGCCATCACCACCTTGAAGAAGTTGCTTCTCCTTCTCTTTCCTCAATCAGAAAGTAAGAACCAGAACTCCTGACTTCCAACTCTGATGCAAGGAAACGAGGCAAGGTGTGAACCCCACGAACACACCACATGCATCAAGATGAAAAGATTCCTTTGAGAACCAATACATCTGGGTTCACTCACCGGTGCCTGTGCTAGCCAGGGATGACCGTGGGTAAACCACTTAGCCTTTTTCCTTTAGTTTTCTATAAAAAATGGGGACAGTTGTTGTCTCACTTGCTTGTGAGGGTTGTAGAAGATTAAGTGAGGGGGTAAGCTGTGTTTTGTAAACTGGGAGAGTATGGTAATCTGGAAGCAAGGAGGGCTCAGTATGGGCATGTAGTGGGTACTTTAATAGACTCCAGGTAAAAAAATGGGTTGGCCACTCAAGACCAACACTTCAGAATGATTCTGCCCACATAAAAGCAACACTCTCTATCATTAAAGAGATTCTTCTAACCGCCCTGTAACGTGTTACAAGCATCTCAAAATATCACAGATTAGGTCTTCCCACCTCCCCACCAGGTTTGAGGCCACAGTCCACTTAGGAGGAGAAGCCACTCCCGCCCAGTGTTATCTGGGATGAGGGCTGCCTAGGGGAACATGCCAGGTTATCCATTAGCTGCTGTTTGTATGTGGTTAGCGGTTCTGTGAAAATGCAACTTCTCATGATTTACATCCAACAATTACTCCTTAGCAGTAGGGGCAGAAAAGTTAAAAAAAAAAAAAAATGGGGTAAGGATTCACCTACATTTTCTTCAACTTCTTTCAGAGATAAGTTTTATATTTAATTCTTTAATCCTTCAGGAACTCATTTTGGTAAAGAATATGGATTTTACTCCTCAGTCAACTGCCTTAGTACAATTCCCACCAACTCATTTGAAATCAGAGACCAAATTCTTACAAAGGCTTGGGTCTGTTTCTGAGCTTTTTAATTTTGTCCTATTTCTCTACCATTCCATTCTAATGATCAGAGTTTTACAATGTTTCATTATCCTCTTCGATTCTTTCATGGAAGTTTTCTTGCTTATTTTTATCAACTCATCCCTCCAAACTTCAGAGCATTTATAAAAGTCTATCAAAAGAAAAAAGTACTTATATATATAAAAATGTGGAGGAGAACTGACATCTTTCCAAAACAGAGGTGCGCCCTCCAGGGACAAAGTCTTTCTCCAATTAGTCACATCTTCATTCAACTCCACCAGCCAAGAAGGGTGGGTGAACCAATAACAACGATTAGAAGGCGGGTGGGAACAGGCAATAAATTTGGGAAAACCAAAACACTCTCTTGCACTGACTAAATGTCTGATTCAATGTGGCACTGACTTGTCCTTGGGATGAGGATGAGAAAAGATGGAGGTCTTCCTGCAGTGCCAGATCTGGTGTAGGCCCAACCCTGGGAGGTGTGGGTGGCAGGAGCCGCCTGGCTCAGATGGCCTTCTGAGATAAACAGGAGCACCCACACCCCCACCCACACCCCACTATACAGACGAGGAAACAAACATCTGTTTGGAAAGCAGACTCAAGATGACCCTTTTCCATTTATCCTCTTTAGAGTCCAGACCTACTCTTTCTCAGCCTTTAGACCAGAAACGATGCTTTGTTTTTAAAGAAAGATTGCAGTGCTCACTTTGGCAGCACAGACTAAAACTGGAACAATACAGAAAAGATTAGCAAGGCCCCTGAGCAAGGATGACACGCAAATTCATGAAGTGTTCCATATTTAAAAAAAAAAAAAAAAAAGATCTGAAAGTCTCGCAAATTTGATTTTTTAACATTTGTCATTTAGTATAAAACACTTTCCTATTAAAGAACATAACAAAATAAAGAGAAAGTTTGCCACTGTATTTTGTTAAACAATGTCACAAGTACTGCTCCCCCATTAAATGGTCACCCAAACAAGATTTTTAAAATGAGCCAAATAGTATATAGAGGTATCATTATTCAACCAATTTAAAACTGACAGACATTATAACAGTGTTTGTTAACTTGCTAGTTACAAAATGGTATCTCTTTGGTATTTTGACTTAAGTTTTTGGATCACTACCTTTGGAAATAGTTTACACTGGCCATTTATTGATCTACTTTTATGGTAAAACATTCATTTTCTTTGCTTTATGGGTGACTTTTCCTTAGTGATATATAAGAGTTCTTTATATATTATGGATATAACATAAGGCTATCTTACAATGTTTTTTTAAATCTTTTAAATGAAAACTTGAACCTGGGAGCATGACATATCCCCTCACTCCAAGATCTTGTTTTCTACGAAATCGAGAATGAGTTAATGGTTCTAGGAACTGAGGGTGAGTGGGTGGTCCATGGTCCTTTGAATGTCAAGGCTGGGGTGACCATGGCTGTGGTAAACCGATAGTATAATTCTGTGACATCTGGGTGGAGGACGGACTTCTGCTACCCTTCAGTGAATGGAAGGCCAAGTCAGCAGTGACTTAGGTGGCAGTAGCTCTGCAGTGCTTGTGTCCTGAATTATGAGTTATTGCTATTCTCTGATTATGAAGTGAAAATGTGTGACTAACAGAAAACTTTCCAAAGGACAGAAAAGCATGAAGAAGAAAATGGAGTGGCAACCGGTGTTACAGGGCAACAAAAGGGTTAAGAAATTATTGTTTCTCTCAAATCCCAATCCAAGAAACACTATCACTCCCAACATCTATCAATGTGACATTGCCCCCACCAGCACACCTCAATGTCAGGGGCTGTTTTATCCACCTACAAGATCCAGCACAATGGCATACAGCATGTGTTCAATAAATGATTATGACTTTTATTATTCAAAGACCTGCTCAAACCTGGCCATCTGGAGCCAGGTTTTTCTAGATTGCTAGGAATCGGCCTCTCCCTGTGGTTTCCAACTCTGAGTTAGAGCTCCATTAAGGCACTCAGCAGAGCATCTCATGTGAGTTTTCTCTAAAAACACAAAACCCAAACTGAAACCCCCTGACGTTCATGGAGGCCTACAGCAGGCTGGGGCTGCGGTAGGTGCACAGAATAGAAATCCCCTACGGAAGCAGAAGAGGAAGGAGCGTGGGACTCAGAAGCCAGGGACTCACTCCATGTGGGCTCATTCCCAGGGACTCACTCCATGTGGGCTCATTCCCAGCTGGGAGCCCATGGACAAGTCCTTTCTTGCTCTGGGCCTCAGTTTCCCCACGTACCCAATGGAAGAGTCAGGAGATGACTTCAAGGGCTCTCCTCAGCCCAGTGCACACACCTTGGGGAACAGGGACTAGAAACAGCAAGCAGCTCCTGCATGCACAAGAAGATGATCCTCTTTCCAGAGGACTTTTAACTCTGGAATTTTAACTCTTCTCTGTTCATTATAGAACACTTAGAGAGCAAAG